AAGTTGACCGAAAATCATTACACAGGGGAATAAAAGATAGATAAACTAATAAAATAACACTAAACAAATTTGAATCATTTTTGAATTCATAACATGTTTACATGATATATCGTAAATAACCTTAATAAAAGATCATAATCTTGTTTACAATGTTGCATCTATACGTTTTTCGATCCATCCAATAATCCTTCCTCTATAAATCTCTTATAAAATGAAATGTAAAGAAAGCTATTTTGCGTTTATTATTTTACAAACATCTTTACCTTGTCTGTAATATTTAGGAAATATCAATTTTTCGAATGTGCAAGTTCAGCACACAACTTATTGCGCAAAAATCTCTCTTTCTCGACGGAAACAGCCGCTAAAAATATCGTGCGACAAAAGTCTAAAAATTCGAGCTTTATAAAACTACGTAGTCATTTCTGTAAAGCGGACATGTAATCAGCATATCTTAGTTAACCGCATGGTATTCATTCTTACCAAGTTGCTGGCTCTTCATTAAAGAAACGTTAGGTACGTTCTACAACAAGGACGTGCACAAGATTAATCCTTTTTCTTACTTTTCTATTTTCTCGAGTGTATAGCGTCCCTTTGCGCTTTGTAGTAGAAACGTCGAGTACTTTATGAGAAGCTGAGCTCTTTTCAGCAAAAAGAGTAGTCTTCGTAAGGGAGATGTTTAACGATATAAGAGATATAACAAAGTATCTCATGACAATGTTTATTTTAAGAAGAACAGAAAAAAAAATCTATAGCAAGATTATATATTATATTAGAATTGTTGGCAAATATATAACGAGCAAAAGGATTGTTATTTTGTATCTATGCCGTAATACTATATATAGATAGGATTAATTAATAGAAAAGTACAAGTAGGTTATTCGGACAATCCGCCGCGGTTCACGAACATTCACTTTTGCTGTCGCCAAAAGTAATTAAACTATACCATTCAACAGAAGATTCGTATCTATTACATGGCTTAACGATTCGTCAGATTACACAGTGGGACACAATATGTGAATTGTTCTACCTAGTTGATATATCCTAGTCTCTCAATCCCGATACGTGAATACGCAAGAATAAATGGGAATTACAAAAACAAATTGCATTTGTCGCCGTGCGTTCGAAAGATACGTGATCCATCTGTGACACTTGCGACTAATCATTGTTACCGTGAATGACACATAGACAGATAAGCTTTATGGCGATAGGCGAGCGGATCGACACACTGGGCTCCATTCCACTCTACGAATTGGATGGATGCGACAGAAACTTCGTTACTTAGTTAAATTGATGGAAATCAAGTTTTACTCCTACTTGCGAAATTGCGTCGATATGCATCGTGATGAAAGCGTAGACGTTTATGCCCGCACGAAAATAAAAATTCAATGTCCAAGGATTTTGCAGAACTTGTAATGCACTTGAGATATAGAATTTATAAGATTTCTCAACAAAAGGAAAGCGAATTTCAATTACATATATACGTATGTATGTACGACAATATTTTTTTACTTTGTTTTCAAGAATGAAAAAAAATGCATTTTATATCTTCATAAAAATATTATGATTTTACGGTATATATTTTCACGTGGCAGAAACACATTATATTCTATAAGAAATAAAATATACACATATATATTTTTTAATTTAAATACAAATTTTATATCGTTTCGTCATAATGATTGTAAAATATATACACACACACATACATACATATATATATATATATATATATATATATATTTCTATTGTTGTGTTGGTAATTAACTTTCCATCATTTATTATTTCATTTTCCTTTCATACAACAAAGCTTTATAAATATTCTTGACATGCAAAAGTGTTCATTAAAATAGAAATATTGGCTATCGGGGCAGTTGTCGTGCGAATCTTGTCGCCGTACCCATCACGTTATGACGTACAATTTGAAATGCAAAAAAGAGATCTCTACTAAGCCACTTAAGTACCTCTCGCGATGCACTTACTTTGATTTCTGGAAGCTGACGCAGAATAATGGTTGACCGACTTTCAATGCGATAAAAATATTAGCTAACGAAATAGCCGATATAATAGTCCCTCATTTCTCACAAGTACATACTATATAACTATAAAATAATTATTCTCAAAAATGTCATTATTAAAAGTATATAAATTCTAACATGTTCTTTTGTAATAATTATATTATTACAGAGTTTTATATTATCTATTATAAAAATTATATTATTACAGAAAAAATGAGTGATATTATAATAAAAATTTTTAAAAGAAATAAATGCACAAGGAATATGTTTTATGTATAATATATAAATCGATAATAAATGATAGTTGAACTGAATTTTAAATAGAAAATGCCAAAAGTTATATGATTCGATTCTTCTTATAAGAATAAATCGATACAATACTTTCACTAATACACGACTGTATAAATTGATAAACATGTCAGTTTGCATGACTGTTCTTCCGCTAGTAGTTTAAATGACCTTCCTCTGCCATTCTAGAGCGACCTCCTATCGATTTTGGCTCAAATCGGAATGCGACTGTCGAGACGTTAGTCGAATAACATTTTGTATTGCCAAATTTCCGTCATTATTTTTGTTTTGTTTTATACAAAAAAGTATTTATAAATTGCTTCTGCAATTTTTATAAATACTTTAGAGGAAGGAACATTTTTAAAAACCCTATTTTATGCTCCTCGGCATGTCTCAGCATAAATAGGTCAATCGATTTACAATCGAATTAAAATGTCTATTATATTATTTTGCTTTGCTTTTCGATATTCATTCCAAAATGTAACATCTCATGAAATTTTATATTTTTTACCAAAAATGTGCAATCCTATCTTTTTGAGAAGTCAGAGAAAGTAATTTATAACAATTTATGTGCTATAGATAATTAATTAAATTGTTTATCCCATTTCTCTTCTTTTTGTGTATAGATACAATTTTAATATGACAGCTAGTTTGTATTTATGTTATCATTAGTACAGTTGAGAAAATTAATGCAATAAATGCAATGCAACTGAAAACAATGAACCTGAAATCGACACCTAATACTGCTACCACAATAGCTTGCTTGTATAAGTGTAACATAGCATGTAAATATCTTTTAAATCACGGTAGAATTATTCTTTGTGGAAGCCTGTACATTTAATTCATATTATTATTTTTCTCATGACGTGCGCATGACAATAAATGTTAATACGTAAAGAAGATTAACTTGTTGCCCAGATTTTCCACAGATCATCCCTGATCTAGTTCCTAACATAGATTATATAATCAATTATTAACAAATGCTAGTACATAATTCAAACAATCCCGTTTAACTAACCAACATTTAGAGCTTAACTAAATACATTTTCGCTCAATAAATTATATCAAAACTTTGGATAAGTTATAATCTTAGGTTAAACAATTTGCATTCATGTAACATTGCTCTATTAATTTGAAATTCCTATTATTGCGCATATATTATATATATTTATTTATTTATATGTATAACTCGTGTATATTTTAGAAATTATTAAAACATTTTTACAGCTTATCAAATCATCAAAAAATAAAAAATACATAATAGATAAATATTTCTGATATATATTGCTGATGAAATATTTTTTTTACATTTGTTTTACTTGTATAAACTATAGACTATAGATTATTTTTTGGATGTGTGTTATCTCTCTAAAGCGATATATCGATACAAATATCTCTTTTTCTCTTATCTGTCAGTGAATAATTTGTTTTATCAAATATTATCTTTTGACAAATTGTTATTTAACAAGTGAATTTGTTGTAATAGAATATCTAGATTAAATAATTCAAATTTTAAAAAGCCATTTTTTCTAATAAAAATATAAATTTTATAAAACTAAAAAAATATGTAATAATAAATAAATTCTAATTACATTACTAAAACAAAATATAAAAAAATATATTTATATAAATAATATTTTATTTTTTTGTAATTTATTATGTCTACAATTTATTATGCATTGTATAATAAAAGCATTATCGTATAATAAAGTATTGAAGCTTTCACACACACACAATATTCAACAAAACTTTATTGAATATTAAAAGAGTTTCGTAAAAGCTATGACCTATACTCTATACCTTTAGTATGCAAAGTTCCAAAGTACAATATGTTTAATATTATATGTATGTGTTATATATATACATATATACAATTAATTGCTACTTAACGTAGTATTAATTCTAAGGTAATATGAATGGCAGTAGCTAAATACAGCAGCTAAGTTATAAAATAATTTTGACATCTACATCATTAAGCAATGAAGGTCACGTTAGTTTAAAGTAATGTTCCATGAGTACTTTACAAGTGCTATTCTCTTGAGAAGAATTGCCCGTATGACCATACCAAATGATGCTATAATTCTCATTGTAAAGTGCAGACTATAATTTGGAACAGCGAAAATTTAGCCGCCGCATAATAACTACCGAATCATTGCACAATGATTACCAAATCGCACATTAGGCATGTTGTTAAGTTGGACATAATATAATCTATTTTCGTCATATTGATATGATTTATGTGTACATAAATGCGCGTATCAATCTTTTAAATGTGGTTTAGAAAACCGTACGTTTTTTTCCCGAAGAAATTATTCGATAAAAGTTTCAAATCACTACATAAGCATTGAATTATATATGTGTAAGTTTATAGCATGCATCTATGTATCAGATATTTTTAAATATAATATGTTATATATATGCAGCTTTATTTAAATTAATTATGTTGTATAGCCAATAAGAGAATTTACTATTTATATTATTTAGAGACTTTGCATATTATTTTTATCTAAAATTTATAATAGTGTATGTTCTTTTTATCTTTGTTACAAATATGTATATCAATCGTTTTAAATATTTTATTAAATTAGGTCAGAGTTAATCGAATTTGTTACACACCAATTGCGTAACTGAAAATAATTTATTATATTGTATCAATCAATTTCATAATTATTTTTTTTACTTCTATTCTTATTTTAGAACGAAGTGGTAGCTGTGGCGTTAGAAGCTCTATTAAATAAACATGAAGTACCTCTTCCAACGTCGACAACATCGTCTCTGTGAGTATATTCATTAAAAAATGTTCTCTATTAGAGCATAATTGCATGTTACTTTACAAAAAAAAATAATAAAATAAATGTTTCACAATATAATAAATTATATTGTATGTTATAGGAATTCATAGTATTATAAATTAGTTCTTTTCTTTATTAATTATAACTATTTAATTAATTAAATTTGTTGACTTATTGAATATATTAATAAACACAACACTTTTATGCAATATATTTCTAACTACTTTCAAATATAAGTAACAAAATAATTATATAAAAACCATCCATATTATATATTTTCATAAAATTATCACAAACATTCTTTAAAAAGATTTAAATAGATTTAAATAGATTAATCAAGAAAATTTAGCCGTTGTATTATAATTAAGGTAATTTAATTTTATATTGTAAAAAAATATAAAAATAATAACGTTTTCATATATGCAAGTTATGCTTCAACGAAAATTTAGAAGAAATGCAAATTTGATCATTTGCAATTTAGAAATCAATTTACAAATATATATATATATATATATAACTTACTTAATTTGAATAAAATTAAACAAGAGCGTAGTATAACGAGCAACTTCTGTATTCATTAATGCGCATTTTTATGAAAATTTTAAAATTTTTATAAAAGTTTTTAAACAAAAAATATTTAAATAAAAAACATGAAATTTTAACTACCAATAATTGTAACGTAACATTTTTACAAATTTTCTCACTTAAATTATAATTAAATACATACAAGATTTTTGATATAGTAATATTATATTATTTTATATTTCAGAGAAAAGCTGCTAAATAATGTTGACGAGGAAGAAAATTATAATTTACTGGAAGACATTTACGAGACACTGAATTATGATTGTGGTAAGATAATATATCTTCTTTACATTTACATATAATAATAAAAAACTCTAACAATAAGTATATAAATGTTTGTATAAACTCATGATATAGAAAGATAATATTATTTAAGATGATATTATTAAACAATGAATTTTTTAATTATTTTGCATATAGTCATTTTTGTGGTGTGCAGTTACTTGGTGGTAGAGAACGATAGCTTTTTATGACACAAAATTTTCCCTTTTCTATTTTAAATTTGCACAATGTATGGAAATGGTACAAGTTACAGTATTTGGAAGCATGTGTGAACTTCTCCTCTCATATATAAAACAGCAGATGTAAAATAAAAGATATGCCATAAAATGTAGCTTCCGTTTACGGTCATGTTAAAACGGTTACCAATAAGTTCAAGTGTTGCTGTAATTCCACGAACCCATCGCAGCCGTTTATCACTGTCGCAAAGAAGATTGATGTATATATCGATTTCAAATAAGACCTTCTATGTTTAACATCAATCGGCTCAAACATTGAGACGATTATCATAAATTGTCTTTAACAGTCAAATTATGAAGACCGCGTCGACACTTTGTTTGCTTGAGAAAGAGCTCGAGACATTAGTTTCGAGATTACGTTAATATTTATCAGGATTGTAAAAATTGCTACAAGAAGCATTCGCAAAACAAGTAATTCTTTGATAATTATAATTTATAATAAAAAATATCGCGTAACCAGTATTAAACAATAGAAAACTTTTTGTAAGGTTTTATTTAAAATAGGTCCGTATATTTTAATCGATTATTGTCACGCAACTTCAGCAAGTGGAAGCAAATTTCAAACATATCTTTTCTATCAGCGTCAAACGTCATCCTTGCAGACCTTTCACACTTTTTGCAATTACACTTTAAGTACCATTGTCCCCTTTGGTTTTGCCGCGCAGTCGATAACGCGAGAATCCATTAATACAGGTTTGACCGAGTTTTTAAATGAATGAGTACGGAATAACCGGCGCGAAAACTAATCAATATTTACCACGTCTCAAATGAAATATCCTGTAACTAAGATAGTAACAATGTAATCGATCAATTAATCAATTGATAAAAGCACCCTTTTTTGACCCACGCTTTTACTCCTGTCGAAAAAAATTAATGGTTTATCTTCAAGAGATAGAACGAACTCTTTCAGATTACGAGAATTAACTATGTTACGACCATAAATGATTGCATTCAACACGAATGTTATAAAATGTCTGACGTTTTAAAATGTCTGCAATCATTTTTATGCATATTACTTCCAATGGAAGTTAAAACACAAGGGCTGTGAACGTTGTTACAAATAAAGCTCGAACCGAGGCAGTCGTCCTTCTTCGCATTCAAATTATTTCAGCTTTGCTAAAAGTGTTCGTCCCGGATCCTTGGTTACGCGTTCTACTTTCCCTAGCAACTGCATAGCGAAGCGCCGTATGATAATGTTTTAATTTTGTCCCGCGTTTTAATTCGTCTGTCACAAGCAATTTTTAGCTCCAATTTAAAATGCTGCAGCGAGGGTAATTCTTATACAAAAAAAACAATAATGCTAATATCATTTTTTTAAATAATGCTAAATTTTTACAATAAGCAGCATCGTATATATAATTAAAAAAATAATTCATTATTTAAATTATTATTTGTCGCATGATGAATACATTAAACAGAAATTTCAAGATATTTTTTATTCTCGCAACAATTTCACAATAATTTTATTAGTTTCACAAACTCATTAAAATTTTGAGACACGATATCCGTTATTAAAAATTGGAAACTATTAAGCAATAAAGCTTCATCGATATTTCGATCACATGATTTGATACGATTTTAACGAGGATGCTGTTGCAAGGTAGATAGATTGCACAAATAAGCGACGATGTGTGAAGCTTTCCTGGCGTTAACGAAGGAACCTTCGGATAGGTAATACGTACTCTGAAAGATTAATGAACTAGATGAGCCCGGTCCTGGGAAATTATGTTTGCGATACTATACCATTTCGTCGCTGTACGACGAATCGTATTTTATATGCATGCGTCTTATTGATTCAACCTTACGTGCGATGACAAAACCAGACACTTTTCCATTTTCTACCTAAACTCTCAAGGAATGTGTCAGTTCTGTTCGAATTTCTCATGTCTCTGTATATATTTTCTCATAAATCTTGTAAGGATAATCTTGTATTATAAATGAACGAATCGCAGACTTTAACGAACTCTGTCAAACCTTCACACGAAAAACTGAAATAGAGTATGCACGAGACGCAACTGACAATGAATATTTCACCGATAGTATGTGGAAAAGTTGAGCGAAAAGAAGAGAAATGAAAAATTATTCCACCCTATGACTTTTGTCTCTCTCGATTTTTGCATTGTACAAGCTATTTCTATAATACTAGTGGTAAATTTGCAAAATAACAATATTATTATCGCTCAATTACTTTGCAATACAATTTCACAGATTTCAATTTCTACGATCATATTATTATTATCATTCAGCTTTTAAAGTTACATTGACAATTTTACGTTAATGTTTTACACATTACATCTCATATTTTCATCTTTATAACGATCTTGTGACTAATGTAATGGTTATACATTTTATAATTGCAAATTCTATTCTACCGTTAATGAATTTTTTCAATTCTTTTTATAAGATAACTCCTTACATTTTTAACGAGTAGTGCACTTTTAAACGTGCTTATATTAGCGCTAATTAATTTTATATAGATACACGTGTAAGTCTCGAAAGAGAGAAAATCGTGTTCTTTGGAAACTGCAAATTCTGTTAAATTATTTTATTACGATCAATGCATTAAGAATAGCGATTTTAAAACGAGAAGTGCATAACGTAAAATAAATATATTTCAGAATGCTAATTCTAAAATAAGCAACTCGTATTCTTTAAAAAAAAGTGAGGCTGTTAAAGTGTCTTCAGAAAGTTCTTACAGCTGTCACCTGAGACACTTGTCTGCAGCTGGCAATCCTAGCCAGCGGTATAACAGACTTTTGAAATGTCGGCAAATTTTATATATATAAAACTTCCCTTTATTTTATTATGTAAATGCATTAAAGATTAAAGTATACATCATACTTCCTAAAAAATATATAAGATGTATGTATGCAAATAAATTGACTCTAAGCTAACAAAATCTTCTCTAAACGTGCACACGTAACGCATGGTGATTTTTTAATCAATACTGAATTAATTAGTAAATTACACATGAAATTAATTTTCAAAATAGTGTGCACTATACAAATATACTCTTTTCATTCTCGTAGAAGCAAATATTGTTACACATACAACTCGTTTCCCTCTGTATTGGCTGAAAAGTTTTACGTTTCTAATTAATTAAAAGTTCGATTCTCTAAAAGGATTATTATATTGTCCTCTTTCTTTCTTTCTCTACACACACACACATATATATATATATATATATATATATGTGTGTACACATATATATAACGGTCAAGCATAGATTTTGATGATCTAGAGAATCAAGAGCATCGGGACTATTTGTTTGACAGTAATGTTGGCTGTCAGTTGGTTTTCCACCGATCCTTCATCTTTGAGCGCATATAACCCAATTTACGTTTAGCTGTTCGAGTACTGTAGTTACAACGAAGCATACTTCAGAAATATCCCATTAATCATCACAAACAATCGATCCGCGCATGCAATGTATTCGAATCTGACTTCCTCATCGGAACTTATGAATGGGATCCGGTACGTCGAAGACAACAGTCGTCATTCGAATAATGCGTCCTTTATGACTAATAACCTAGTACATACGTGAAACACGGACGGAATTTAGCGATCGTAACTTAGAAATATGGTGCTCCAACGTAATAAACCCGGAGCGCGTTGTTATGTAACCACATTAGGAAATTCTGCGTCATGCTGCGAGCACCGTGAGCAATTATGTGAAACGCCTGTTTATCCCCTATAAAACATGTAACGCACCGTAGTTTACCTGTTAAATATATCGCCAACTTATCTCCTGCGTCAAGACGTTCCTTTGACGACGGTAGCACAGCATATACATATTCTCGGTCGAAGTGACCTCCGTATCCAAGCATGTATAATCCTGAAAAAAAAGACAAGGGTAGTATAACGCGGTACTTTCAAGTTCAAATAAAATCACCCCGCGGTCTCTTTTTTCCCTCTACGGCATAAAGGCGCGTATATACCGTAAAGGAATTTCCATCCTGGTGGAATCTCTTTCCCCCGCGTTAGCGATTACGCCGGCCCTTGAATATCGAAGTTCACTGCTAAAAGCGCGCAGGCTGCGTATTTTAACGCAATTAATGCGATTCAATACATTGCACATATAAGTTTATAAGCAAGAATAGCTTTGGAGATATTAAATTATATATAGTATCTAATTAATAAACGCGCGCGCGAGAGATTGCGATAATAAATTAATAATCTCTATTTATCTTGCAATATTTGCGCCACTTGAGATCATCATCAGGCCATTAAATTCTCCTGTGCTTGCAGTTTATTAGCAACGATGAGCGATTCGCGCATAAATCGCGCTTATCGCTCGTTGACAAATATGTATCGTCGTTTATCAAGTAAGCGGAAAACACGTATTTTTGCTCATAAGGAGTCATGGCAAGACAAATGGTGAGCATAAGCCACACATTATTTCCTTCGTCGTGACCCAGAACCTCTTTTCACCCTTCCGCTTGCACCGTGATCACTTCGCATTTCGTATACACGACAGGAAACGGTTGTTGTTGCGGTTACTGGAGCATAGGAGATACCTCTCGCAGGAGATACCAACGTAATGCAATCTCGGGAGAAACTCTAAGACCCTGTTGTCACCGAGGATGTACAGTACACTAGTAGACCATTTGAAAGATTGACTTACAGCGACAAGTGCGCATACATGACATCTTACATGTGAATTGTTTATCATCAGAATTGACATCTTACATGTGAATTGTTTATCATCAGAATTCATACAATATCGCGAAAATATATAAAAGCGAACCGATCTTTTTTATCCTATTTGTATTCGAACAACGCTAACAGATCGTCGCTTATTTTTCTCGCGTATCGCCGTGACCCAGAAAGTTCGACCGAAAATTTCTTTGTCTGCGCTTTCTGGATAATAGCAACGTAAATATCGAACACATAAATCACAGATAATATTTCCATTTCTAGACAATATATTATCCTATATCGTTCATCGCGGACAAACATTTGCGATATTTCATCACGTGATCTAACGCATCTATCAGATAATGACGCACACGTCACGTTTGACGTGCTTAACAAGATGACACTATGACGAGAATTTTCGTGCCTGTTTATCGTAAAGCTTTCAGAATTCCATCGGGATAATCTTCATACGCGGACAGCCCATCGATTAAAGTGAATCGCGTGAAAATTTATTTATTCCCCCAGATCAGCTGCATTATATGACAGAATATATTATGAGAGTGTGAGAATGCCACGTGATATTTCGAACAATTGGCCGGACGTATTGCACCGTGCGGTAGCGCAACCGCTATTATAATTATCGTGTTTTCATAGCGATATTCGATGTGAAATAATACAGGAGTGTTAGAGCAACCCTAGCTCACTGCGTCTATTTCCGGATTTGCAAGGGACCCGACCGCACACACTGGGTGTAACAAAGCTGAAGCGTGACATTGTATTATCGATCTCGTGAAATTCGCTCGAAATTCTCCAACGCGTCGATTTAGTATTCAATATCATATTAAGCATTCATAGGTACTTTCAATATAAGTTTAGAAAAGATAAGCGCTTTGTTGGCGCAAAAGCTAAAAGCAAAAGATTTTCGAGGGACGTGTTCGTTCTTTCTATCTCTTTCTAATACTAGTTCAATACGCAAAGTATCTTTTAGTGTAGAAAAGATTATTTGCGATAAATTTACTTAGAGAGGCGTGAAAACGGACGTGCTGTATATTATGTACTCGTTATTTACGAAGCTTAATTCTCTGAATCTCTCGCAAAGAGAGAAATAAACGGTTTCTGAGTGACTCGACGAAATTCCCTCACGGCGAATTAATGTTTGCGGAACTTTTGCAGACGTCGACGTGAACGCGTTTCTCGATCATCTCGGACAGGAGCTGATCACGTGGGCTTGCGTGGGTCTCTTAGAGCGGGCCTTTCGTTGCCTTGGGAACGATCTGACCGCCTTCCTGACCACACTCGACGGCGTAAACGACGTTGTTCAGCATCAGTCAGGATCGGATGCCGAGGCAGAGTTTGTGTGCATTGCCACACCGGAAGCGTTGGAGCTACACTTCACCACCGATCACCCGTCTATAGCCTATCTGTTGGTCGGCAGTTTGAAAGGCATCGCAAGGCAGTTCTATAACGACAAAGCTGATGTGTATATACTGCCGGATCCCTACAATACGAAATTTTTTAGGTAAATCTTTATGAACCTTTTTATAACTCATTTTATCGTACCTTACAAAAAAACTATCTTTTTTACCTCTTGTGTATTCTATTTTATATTTTTATATGTATATATATACATATACCTATATACATATTTTTATATAATACGGATTTGCAGTCATATGCAGATTTTAATTTCCGTTCCTTTCTAGTCCGATTTTAAATACGGTTGTATAGGTATAAAGAACGCATATCGAAGCGTACAAGCGAAAGAACGAGAATATTTTCTGGGGCTATCTCTACTCTTTGACGGAAAACACAAAAATTGTTATCAAATGTCACGCATGAGCGAATTTTTCGTTGCAACGAATATAAAGGTTCGCGTTTATCTCTTTTTGAAGCGACACGGTTTTGATTCGGCGTCAGTAGACGGCTATTCGGTATAAATCGGCAAAAAGAGGACGAAAGATGAAGAGAGAAAAAGAAGCAGAAAATTGTGAAATCAAAACGATACATGCGCTGGAAATGCGATTTAAAGAAATATGAGAAAAATAGGTGGCACAACACATCAATTGCATAATACAATTATAGACTTTTTAATAGTCACTGAAATTTTTCAATTCAGTTATAATTGGATCTTCGTATCAATGAATATAAACGGTAACTGTAAAAAAATCAGCATATGAAATTTCGACATTGTTGCGCTGGTCAGTATTAATATGCTGTGTCATAAACTCCGATAAGTGTTATACGCAAGTGGCTTTCGCGATATCGTAAATGTCATCTCATACGCAAATAATTTATTTGTACCATGAGTCGTCATTTACACAAACAGTCCATATGTTTACTTAATATTTTCGCTGCGTTTCAATCACGCGCGTATGAATTCGTTCGTGTATTTGGTCACGTACTAAATGTGATCTGGAAAAAAAATCAAATTATTATACCATCTATCGTATGTTACGCACGTTTGTAAGTTTTTGCATGGGGCATTTAATGTTTGCTCACCGAATCGTGTGTTCCGAAATAATATCACGTGAGTAGAATGCATAATTCGTACAGATAGAGATAAAGACAGTATGAGAGTGCAAACCTTTCGTTTGAACAAATATTGATTCCCAATGGCAAATATTTGATGATAGGTGCGGCACTATCCGAGTCGCGTTAATTCTGAAAGGATAAGGCCGACCGAGCGTGAACATGTGAATGACGTGCAAAATATTGTCACCACAGAAATCGCTTATATTTCCGAATTTAATTAAACGTCTCGATAGACACTGCATTGGTTATACTTATATTTATCCGCGCGTCCAACAGATTCAATACAAGTTGTCTCTCGTTATTCTATATCGTATTTTATATCAATACGAGAGACGTTTACACCGTCTGCTATCTAAGATTATATTTATAGAATAAATTCTATATAATATATCGATATTTGAATACAAAGGGTTCTCTCTGTGCGATATTGTCGGGACATGTATATTTTTAGCACGCATATCGCATGTCTATATGGAAAAGTACGGTTAATTTATCCTTGGAATATTTGTCTTATATTCCGAGAAAAAGAATGGCAATCTTTTCCTTGAATATTGCAGATACCGTATTACTCCGGAGCGTTACAGCGGACAGCTGGATGCTGATGTAGATGACAACTGCGATGTAGTGTCGCCCGCTTTCCGTCCACTCTCTACCGAGGCAACAGATCTTCGTATGGGTGTAGCAAGCTTCTGCAAGGCATTTCCATGGCACTTCGTCGTTGATCGTCAACTAGAACTCGTGCAACTCGGCGTCGGTTTCATGAAAATTTTCGGTCACCACCTGAATCGGCTTGGCAGGGAGATATCGACGTATTTCGTCTTCACACGACCCCACGGCGTCACTCTGACCTTTCACGAGATCCTAAAGCGCGCGAACACGCCGTTTATCTTGACCCTTCAGAGACCGTATGGCATCGATAAATATCCTGCGGAGGTATGTTCGTAACATGGTAACTAACGCAGGATGATCAACTTACTCATAAACGGAGAGAGAGTACTTCGTAACACAAATACATAAATAAAAGCAAACTAGGCGGAGGAAATTATTTGAGTTTACTTTTGCGTGATCCCTCTCTCTCTCTCTCTTTCTCTTTGCGAAACTTGTAAATTATTAATATCTGCTAGCGCAAACATATGGTAGAATAAATTTACTTTGAAAAGTATTAATTAAGTCTTGTTATGCAGGGTCTGGAAATGAAGGGCCAGATGGTACATTGTCCAGAATCAGACTCAATTTTGTTTGTAAGCTCACCGTTCTTGAACGGTTTAGAGGGCTTAACGGGTCGAGGACTCTTCATTTCTGATATTCCTCTTCATGATGCTACAAGAGACGTTATACTCGTTGGCGAGCAAGCCAGAGCACAGGTGACTAAATTCATTGTCAGTTATATAAATCAAGCATTCATGGTACTCGTCGTCAAAATGTTGCTCGAAGAAATCTCATGTTATTAACGGTTAATACTATCTTAGCATTATCTTATTGTAACAGAATGGTATATGATAATTCATTATTTATAGCGTAATTAAAATAACAGATTACCATATCTTTTATAGTAAGACATATACTACATATGTATATACATATATATTTTTTGATCATAATATATCTACATGAAATACAATGATAAGTAATATTTTTTCAGGATGGCTTAAGAAGACGTATGGACAAATTGAAGAGTTCTATAGAGGAAGCCAACCTAGCGGTCGATGCGGAAAGAGAAAAGAATGTCAGTCTTCTACATCTTATATTTCCACCGGATATTGCGAAGCGTCTGTGGCTGGGTAAATTACAACAGTTTATATCCTGTCATAGGATATAGTAACACTTTTATCTTTACTTAGTTCACTTTTTCAAATTTTTCACTTTAATCTCAAAGTTGCATTTAATGTAATGATGTTTGAAAATGGAAAAAGTGAAAAAAATAATCGTAAAAGAAATCTTACAACTGTATTGTTAAAATAACAATACGATTCTATATATGTATAAATATTATTTTATTATGTAATATAACTTGTCTGCTTGTAAAAAATATATAACCGATTAAAAACTGATATTTTAATTATCTAGGAGAGACAATCGAAGCAAAAACATATCCGGATGTCACAATGCTGTTTAGCGATATAGTCGGATTTACGTCCATCTGTGCTACAGCAACACCGATGATGGTTATTAATATGCTTCAAAATCTCTACGAGCAATTTGATATGTATTGTGGTCAGTTGGATGTATATAAGGTATGTTTATTTTGAGAAGACGTTGACCCATTTTTAATACGTTTCGATAATCTACTGCGATATTATTTGATTTGCTAAATCATTATAATTAATTGGAAAAAAATCATTATTTGTTTATTTAAATTTAATTGATAAAATCGAAATAAATTATATCAAATGTTTCTCTAAATATATCAGAAAAATAATTTCTTATTTAATATAGATGGCAAAAGATAAGTCATTATTAAAAATTGCAAATTAAGTAAAATATACATATTTTTCAATTAATATCTTTTTGCAAAAAAATTTCATTTTACATCGGTAAAGTGTAATTTATATCGTATTCATAAGCCTAAAATGTACCATGTCGCCATCTCTGAGACATCAAAAGAACTTGATGTAACTTAAAGGTAATATTTTTATCTCTTGTCATTCTCAGTTTTGAAATTTTTTAACACTAATAAATAATAAGTGCCGAATATAAAAAACTATTTTTCGAAAATCAAATTTTAGTTAATTTTCAAAAAATTTTAATAATTATTTTTAGTGTTTAATAGCTATATGGACATAAATGGATGCTGTGCATCGATTTTTACTTTATTCTTGTATGAATAGGTAGAGACAATCGGCGATGCCTATTGCGTTGCATGCGGCCTTCATCGAAATACCAATACACACGCGCAACAAATTGCTTGGATGGGCCTAAAGATGATACAAACGTGCTCTCATCACTTGACTCACGAAGGCAAGCCAATAAAGGTATTACACGATGATTACATGATTACAGATAAGATCGTGATTATATGCGACTGTATTATATGCAATTTTCTTTTAGCGTAATATCGATAGTAATAGCATAGTGAATACTACATTTACAGTTTTATTGCATTTTACGCAATTTGGCATAGCACATCCTAATTTTATTGTATGTATACTGAGACGTAAAAAAAACGTTTTTCATAACGAAATACAAATTAATATTCGACACAATTAAAGTAATATTGTAGCATTGCGCATCATATGTTTTGATATATATATATATATATATATATATATATATATGTATATATATATATATATATATATATATAGCACATAAAATATCTAGAAATCTTTGTAATTTTGCAAATATTTTTATTTTTTTACAATATTGGAAAATATTTTTAAACAAAAATGTAATTATAACAGAGTATATGAAAATAACAATTAATATTATACTAGAATATCTTAAATATATTTTGCAATATTTCAATCTCTTTTAAATCGAATTTTTAAATGTATATTAATTTTCTTTTTATACATGCTTTTTATACATGAAAAAGTCGATCAGGATACAATAACTCTCTTGCTTTCTCACTCTTTCTCTCTCGCTCTTTCTTTCTCTTTTAGAACGATTTCTCAAAGTTTTTCAATTGAGAGATGTTTCTGATTATTACATATCCACTCCGAGCAGAAACTCCGTTGTTTATTATTCCCGTCTTGAATACTATTAAAACTTTTCCCATTTAAAGTATTCCTTAGCTACAATAACAAACGGTCAGTGGGGGGAAAGGAACGTGAGGCACCTACAGTTGCATTAACATTTAAAGCAAGTTACATGATATTTCTTTTCTTCATTGATACTTTCTTGCATCTGTCATCTAACTTATATTCGCCAAAATATGCAACATTAGTAGTAGACTCGACTTTCATTTGGCTGTTCTGTTTACTATTTCACTAGATGCGCATCGGTATTCATACCGGAATGGTGCTGGCAGGCGTCGTGGGCAAGAAAATGCCAAGATACTGTCTCTTTGGACATAATGTCACGTTGGCGAATAAATTTGAGTCTACGAGCGAACCGCTTCGCGTCAACGTCAGTCCAATTACGTACCTGTAAGTGACAGCGGTTCGATAATATTTCCATTTCTTTCCGTACCTATAAACATTTGCATGTACACATGTATACATATATATTGTAATGGCATTACAAATGTCTACAGGTGTTTAATACAAAAATCGGGATTTATATTGGAACCGCGGACCAAGGATAATTTACCCAAGGGAATGCCAGCCAATGTTTCAGGCACGTGTTATTTTCTAAATGGGTATCAACATAGCGATGTAAGTGCGAGTGAACCTCTCGATGTGCATATTCAAGCTGCAATTACGGAACTCGGAATCAGTAGCAATATGTAGATACTGTCCGACATGGGGACATATACCGACGAAGTCGTACCACTGATAAGTGTGTTACTTTAACGATATTACCATCGATAATAGCAATGACACACACACACTTGATATTATCAGATCGATGTATATGGGCTCTCAAGCTGGCACTAAAGGTACATTAAAAGCATGGCGCTAATTGTACGTACACATTGAAAGAGATCCTGTGCGGATGCTATTTATACGCAGAGTCTTAGATTGTAATCATTATATACTTATATTAAATATAAGAAGCAAGTAAAAAAAAACTCTACCATGGACTCTCTCTCTATACTTGTATATTATTTGAAAGTCCTTGTCCTAAACATAGATCCAAATCCAAAATATTTAAGAATTCTAATAATAAGATATAAATGTCATGTATGAAAAGAAACGTAAAAAGTAAATAAACTTTTAAAAATATTTACAATATAAAAAAAGAAAAAAACATTTTTAAAACAAGATGTCTTTCTAAGTATATTTAGTTTTTTCTACGTGAATTCGTTATAAAAGAATTTTAAAATCAATAATACAACATTGTTTCAAAAAAGAATTGTATAGATACCTATATATTTGACAACATATCACTTTGTCGAGTTCATTTTATATATAAAATAATTATATCTTATATGTATCTGATCTAAATTAATAACAAATTCTAATTTATAAAAACTATTTTCAAGTTATTTTCCGTTTAAAAATATCATAGAGATTTTTTATTTTTCTCCATGCAACACTATTGCATTATCTCTTTTTAGTTTTCTAATAAGTATTCATTTTCCGATAAAACTTTAATTAGATTGAAATTTTATTATATGGATTATCTGTGTATATAATAAGACACTGTTCGTTTCTGGATATCAAGCTCAAACGAATCCAAGTCTCATTTTTCTTTTAGATAATAAATAAAATTAATATCGTCGTGCGCGTTCGCGTTTAGATTAGAAATAAGAATCTAAATGAAAAAGAAAAAGAAAAATGATTCTGTTCTTTAGATAAAAAATAATACAAAGTTTCTCGCACTAGAATAGAATTGTATTATACCACTTTATTAATAACAGATGTGCAATTTTTCGTATAAGAAAGTAGTCAAAATTTACGAGGCGCGATTTACGGAACTACTAATATTTCAACTTACGTGGAAGCGTTTTCCCCCGAGAAAACTTGCGGCTGTTGTACGAAGTAGCGGCTTTTAAGATAATAACGTCGGTTTGCGGATCACGGTAATAACTAATTGTGCCGTTCTCGCGGCGAGGATAAGCAGCAGCTTATTGAAAAGCTCGGCCTCTTTCCGCTTTACCGTGCGCGCATCATTTTACCGAGGACACACAAAAGGGAGGTGGCATGTATTGTAAAACTAAAAACTAGGAGGTACTTTTACAAAGCCACTATCACTAACAGCCCACTCTTTGCTAACGCACATAAGCTCATGTCTGTGTATGTGTGTGTGCATATGTGTGAGTGTGCGTGCGCGTGTGCATACGTATGTGTCGCTACTCTTAATGTTTCTTATAGTGGCAGTTATGCAGGATTGAAGAGAGAAATTAAACATCGTTCCTTCCGGCTATGTCGTGTTATCAAACGTTGGGAACAGAACAAAGTATTCGTTAGAGAATTCTGGAACGGAACTATCATGTGGATATTAAAATATGCAGAAAGATCAAAAAACCAGCCGGAATAATAATGTGTGAGCAACACAAAAAGTCAGATTTCAATGAGAAGTATTCTTGTACGCAAAAGATGCAAGACGTCAAAGATATATTTTTAATCATACATTCTCATAAAGATATTAAAGAGAGAATTATATATGTCATTATAGAAAAATTGACATAAGTAATAATAAAGAATTATCGAGAGTATGAATACAAAAATCGATAAATTAAAGAGCACTTATAAGCGTTGTAAGAAAAAACTTAATCTACTTAAATTACATTGAAAAGGAATAGCATCATTAAAATGTAATGGAACTTCTATCTTCTTCATCATAAATTCACAGTCTCTAAGGTGCTTAACGCTATAATACTGTAATGCGATAAACTCATTCGTGTCGCATAAACTCACTCGCTATCGTATAAATAAAGCAAAATGTAAAAATCTATATTTTGTCATTTAACATTTATTTATCTCGTATTATAACATTTTTAATTGATTCTGTATGTATTACATATATTTTAATCAAAGAAATATATTTATTATATGCATATACAATCATATAATTAATTAGAAAAATTTTTTTAAATCAGAAATCCGCTAATTTTGCTTACCTATATTTTTTTCCTCTTATATTCAGTTGATATTATGAAGAACTCAGCTTATTGAAATAATTGCACAATAAAAAGAATCTAATATCTGATATTAATCTAAGATGGATATCTAGAAGCATGCTATCTGTCGTAATGTACTTACTGAAGAAACTAAGTCAAAGGTTCTCGTGAGTTCTAGAAGCTTAGCCAAATTGGTTCGCAAATATTTCTTTGTTAAGAGAAAGTACGATGTTTATTGAAGCAGTAACTTAATTAAACTGCACAATTACCTCAAATAATGACGTTTACGTCACATTTAAGTCCGACCATGTCAGGAAAATATTAAATATTTGCACAATATTCAAATATAATTCATATCAAGCTATACATCTACACACAAACATATATATGTATATACATATACACTAATTGGAAATATATTTATAATATTTTGTAATATTATTATACGATAATTTTTAATTAATAATCTAAATAGCTATATATTTATTTAAAAAATTTTTATTATTATTCATTAAAATATATTTAGAGAATTAATCTTGAATATTTTAATAAAAATGATAAAACGATCTACATATATGCTCGTAAATTATTTATTATAAATTTATAAAATATTCGCGAATATAAATAAAATATATTGTAATTGTATGTAAGTTTAAATGAATAAATATTTAATAAGATATGCGTATCGTTAAGCAGCCTCACGTATTTCGAGTGCCTCAAGTTTAATATGCGTGACATAATCTACATTCTCCGCTTAATTACATTCTCTTGATAGTTCTGAACAGTATGAAGTAACTGGAACATTAGCTCAATAAATTTAACAAACCGCGATATCGAGATTCATGTTATTTTACATTATTATGCAAATAACATTGGTAAAATTTACATAAAACTAAAATAAAACTAAAATAAATTTAAAATTAATTAAAAAATTTTTATGACTATCTATTATAAATACCATTCAATAAATACATTATATTTTTCGATCTGATTAATATTTCGTACATTTTAATAAAAAGAGAATTATTGTGTATGTTGCATTATTTAGATTATGTCATCCTATTTTATATATTCAGTTTGTCTCTGACATTTCGTGCAGCATGATTTCTCATTCTCTAAAAATCATAAAAATACCTCCAACTTTGCACGCCTTCATCTTGAGCGTTGTCACCCACTTTTCACACAGAAGGACAACTATGAGACAAGTCTGAAAAATTACCTTAGCTCTTTCTGCTACAAAGGTTTCATTATGGAGCACCTCGCTATTTATTTTCCTATCTGTCTCACTTCTTCACCGCACTATGTTGAATCATCCTTAACGAAGACCAAGTAATTGTTCAATTAATATTAATTAAAGGCAACTGGAACAGTTTCCAGAAACGCAAGATTTCTGCTATCACAGTGATACATTTTTAAGAATTACTATAATTTTTTATAATACAAATTCAGGTAGGCTTTTTATAATATTTTTGAAAAAAAACTACGTTTATTTAATATCATGTCTCTCAGCAAATACATAACTTTTTTATAACTTTGATTTATAAATACTCTTTTGAAAAAGAAATTTTTGTTTAAGCAAAACCAGATTTTGCATTCCCTGCATTTTCTAAATGATAACATGTACATATGTATAATAAATTCAATTACACAATAAATCTTGTTACATATGATTTTCTCCCTCTCCTTTTTGTCATATTTCTCTGTTATCGATATAAATTTATTATTAACTCTCTCGCATATAGGACATGAATATATGTATATTCTTTGTCCCGTAGCGCGCGCAGCAGTCCCACTGGTCCGATTAAACTACAATGACGTGTATCAGTTTACTGACTAGGGATCGAAACGAATATTAAATACTAAGTATGTTACTGTCATATACATGTCATAAGCACGTGTGTATCGAGTATCTTTGCGTGTCTTTTGTTTAAAAATTTAGCAGAAGAAACAAATGATTTCGTGATATTACATCCATTTTTATAGATCACATAGATCATATAGAAGAAGCATTAAGAATAAATGTACGTGTTATTGTATATTTGAAAAACTTGATGTGTATTTTCGTATATCGTACATTTAAAAAATTTAAATTAATAAAAATATAATTTATATTGTTAGCAGAAAATCTTGATAAAAAAAGCTTGTAGTTTATCTGTAATTCATCTATAGTTCATTTGTAATTCTCTCGTTCATACATTATCATAAATAATCATACATTAGTATAAATGTTGAAATGAGAAAGCTTTTTTAGCAAAATATAAAATATTGTAACTTTACTTTTACATAGGTATTGATTTGGAAGATTCGCAGTAGTTACTTGTTTTTTATTTTTTTTAATTTGATGTAACAGAATGTACGTTGAATTAATATTTTATGTAAAAATATGTAATTCGAAATATGTACGATGAGACAGATTTTACAAACTTCATATTTAGTTCATGTTTATCCATTCATATGACATTGTGAAACGTAATAATACCTAATTCACAATATTTGAAATATAATGCGATTTATTTAAATTAAATGAAATTCGGTGATGCAAATTTAATGCGTTTATTGATTGTCATATATCTGTCGTACGTTATTTCATTTTAACATTAGTCTAGTTATTACTTATATATAAGTAAGTTATTATTTATATTATATAAATAATAATATATTAAAAAAATAAATGACTTATTTGCAATTAGTTATTATATGTATATCTAATAAAAATATGATCTATCTTGTTTTAATATTCTTTAAAAATAAATAAAATATAAAAAATAAAGTGGGTTTAATAAAAATGACATATCTGACAAAAAATTCAATTTTTTTATATTGAGAAATTTGTACATATTTGAGAACAAATATAATTCAATTAATTATCGTTGAAATATTGATGTGTTCTCTCGTACGTTACAAAATGCATGATTTAATATTTCCTTTATATTGAAAAAAACGCGTTTAAATAATTTATTACCCGTTGCTACAAATTACTACGTGCTTAAAGGGAGAACCGAGAGAAAGCAACTGGGTGGAAAGGATTGAAAAAGGGCGAGAGAAGCAAGGGGATGAACGGTGGGAATACGAGCGAACGGCGAGTGCGATGAATGAGAAACATAATTTATTCAATTGATACTAATAAATGTATTTATCGCATCATCCAGTAGTTACGTCAGAATAAAACTGATACATTGTTAATATTGTTGTATTGAAAGGAGCACTATATTGATGCACGTAAGAGTGTTATAATGAAACGCTGTCATAAATTTTAATAATTTCGGAAAAAGAACCTTTAAAGTTTATCATAAAATAAACGATTTTATCGTTTCTCTTCAGATTGATAAAGATTTTGTTGAATAAAGATAAAGTTTACTTGTCAAACTTCTCTTCTGATTAATATTGAACTATTTTTCTATTAAATTAATCTCTTTCTATACAATTAATTTTGTCATCTTGAAATTTATGTCAATATTCATTAGAAAAAAATTAAGACAAAAGATGTTTCGAGAAATATATATATATATATATATATATATATATATATATCTTTATATATAAGCACCGTCTGTCTGTATGTATGTACGCGAACTACTTCCGCATTTGTGGACCGATTTTCGTGAAACTGGTACCAAAATGTTGCAAATTTTTCGGGGGTGGCTGCTGTGGGGTTTTTTTTTTAAATTTTTTTATTTTTTTTTTCTCAGAGGAGGGTATGTTTCTTTTTTTGCAATATTTCTGAACACATGGTATCAAAATGTTGCAAATTGTTTGGAGATAGCGACGATGCGGTTTTTTCAAGTGTTACACCCCCACCCACGCACCCACCCACGCATTCACCCACACGCATGCGCATTTATGGACCAATTTTCACGAAATTAGTACCAAAATGTTGTAAATTTTTCTGAGAAAACTGCTGTTTTATTTTTTTAAGTTTACGCCTCCACCCACACACCCACCCACGCAAATGTATATTTATGAACCGATTTTTTTTTAAATTGTACCAAAATGTTGCAAATTTTTTGGAGATGGCGACGATGCGGTTTTTTCAAGTGTTACATCTCAACCCACGCACCCGCCCACGCATTCACACAAATGCATGCGCATTTATGGACCAATTTTTACAAAATTGATACCAAAATGTTGCAACTTTTCTGAGAAAACTGCTGTTTTATTTTTTTAAGTTTACGCCTCCACCCACGCACCCACTTACGCAATCGCATATTTATGAACCGATTTTTTTTAAATTGGTACCAAAATGTTGCAAATTTTGTGGAGATGATGACGATGTGGTTTTTTCAAGTGTTACACCTCCACCTACGCATTCACACATTTATTCACAGATTTTTTCGAAATTTGTACTCAAATTTTGTCGGGGATGGCTACTATGATTTTAACAAATTTTTATCATCCTATTTATCCACCCATGCACCCATGTGCATACGCATTTATTGACTTGGTCACACCACTTCTTTATTTCTAACGATGTATTTTATTCCAATATTCTTACGTTGATAGATGGGATATCCATTTACATTAGCATTAGTTTTATCACAAAATTCTTTTGGAAAACCTTTTGAACATTTTCCACCGTCCCCAGTGCAAGGATAATTTGAAAAATAATATAATTTATGTAGAAGTTATAACAGGTCCTGCTCGAGGACAAATTGTCATGATTCCGAGGATAGATTTAATTACAAATGATTTGGAATTGCCATTTAAGTTTAAACGAAGACAGTTTCCTATTCGAGTGTCATTTGCTATGACAATAAATAAATCACAAGGACAAAGTTTAGAAAAAATTGGAATTTATTTGCCACATCCTGTATTTGCTCATGGTCAATTTTATGTGGCATTTTCTAGAGCAACAAAAAGAGAACGTGTAAAAATTAAAATTGATGAATGTAGCAATCAAGGACATTTAATTGAAGAAAGTGAAAAATGTTTTACAAAAAATGTAATATACAGGGAAATTTTGTAAATTGAAGAATTATGATATTGTATGAGAGCTAATAATAGCGTGTTAGCGGTGGGTACATTAGAAATAAAAAAAATTGAGTAAAATGTAAAAAAGGATATAATAATTAAGTAATAAAAAAAATATTTAAAGTATATATTAACCAAAATAAATGTTTAAATTTTTTTGTGGATGACTACTATGTTATCTATTTCTTTCTCCCAGATATTTTATACACAACATTTTGACAGACAACAAATGTGGAAGTAGTTCGCGGTAATACAAAAAAGAATTAATTTGTTGTGTTAAAACGGATTTAATATAGGCTATATGAGGACCGCGCGAAGCGCGGTCCGAAAAGCTAGTATATATATATATATATATATATATACATACAATATATATATATATTTCTCGAAACGTATATATATATATATATATATATATATATATATATATATATATAATAGTACCGAAACTCTCATCTCTTGAATTATTTAATATAAAACAACGAAATTTATACTATACTAACAATGATAAATTATTAAATTAAGGCCATGTGTAACGAGCAATACGATATTATTTTATTATTTAGAAGAAAATTCTTAATTTGAAATAATAATTACACAAACGTTTCGAGCTCTACTTGCTCCTCTTCAGTGCGCAAAAAAAAAATAGTGATAATAAATAACGATAATAAATAAATACATAAAATTCTAATAAAAAATCCGCAATACATAGTCAATATAAGTTATATAGTTAAGTCATAGTTAAAACGCAAAATATATTTACAATGAATTGAAACCATTAAAATAGTTCAACAAAGTAAGAACCCAATTAGAAGCAGAATGATTCGTCCGGTTATTCATAAAATATTTTAGAATTATTAATAAAAACTCGGAGTGACACTTATACATTGCTCCAAACGAACCACTTATCGTTATTTGACGAAAGTCCCTCGATCTGGCAGGAGGATGGACATAATCATTGCCAGATCGAGGGACTTTCGTCAAATAACGATAAGTGGTTCGTTTGGAGCAATGTATAAGTGTCACTCCGAGTTTTTATTAATAATTCTAAAATATTTTATGAATAACCGGACGAATCATTCTGCTTCTAATTGGGTTCTTACTTTGTTGAACTATTTTAATGGTTTCAATTCATTGTAAATATATTTTGCGTTTTAACTATGACTTAACTATATAACTTATATTGACTATGTATTGCGGATTTTTTATTAGAATTTTATGTATTTATTTATTATCGTTATTTATTATCACTATTTTTTTTTGCGCACTGAAGAGGAGCAAGTAGAGCTCGAAACGTTTGTGTAATTATTATTTCAAATTAAGAATTTTCTTCTAAATAATAAAATAATATCGTATTGCTCGTTACACATAGCCTTAATTTAATAATTTATCATTGTTTTTATTGTCATACGAGCTTGAGCATTGGTATGTGATGGTTTGATTAGGTATTAATTTTGTATACTATACTCTTTAATGAGATAGATTTGATCCTGCAATAAAATATCTAACTACTTTCTCTCGATAATGCAATTGTGTTATGCATTATAATCTTGTTCGCAGAAAATTCAAAGTTTAATTAATCGCTGCACTGCATTGAATTCATAACACTATGCCTACACACGAACTTAACTGCATTGTGATATGTAAAATGTAACAATAATCATTTAATATTATTCAACATAAAAACAACCAGTAATTAGGTATTGTTTCGGATTCGCTAATTAATAATTATATTCCGTGCAAATATGTGTTCTCAATATCAGACAGTTTTGTTTCATAAGAAGTGTTTATTTGTAGATAGTCCCTAATTTATGTATATATTATCAAAAGTATGTATGTATATATGCATAGGTGTAAACAATTATAAACAAACAAATCGCACGCGGCGCACTAAAATATTAAAACAAAATTTATCCGAGGTAAATATTATCTTTACAAGAATTAATTTATAATTTATTGGTTACTTATTATATACATATACATGCATTTATGTATATTCAAATGTTCACGTATGTTTATCAAGAAAGTTAAATTTTCAGGCAACTAATCGATTTTGTGCGTTTAAAAAAATCTATGCACAAAATTTAAAACCCCGTTAACACAGCTTTATCAACAGACCTGTCCATTAAGATCAATCACATACGACATTCTCGTCGAGTAAAAATCTCAATTGGAAATATGATATCGAGATTTCCACTTACGCGGGATACGAATACAATTTTATTTATCGATATTTTTTTATCGTTTGAAAACTTCTCCATTGAGTCATATATGAAGCAATGTTCGAAAGAGAATTCTGTAAAAAAATGTTAGAAAATCCATAAGTCTATACTCACATCAATGTTTCGCGATCCTCTCCTGGTCCGTCGTCAATCGCCATCTTCTATATACACAGGTATATCTTCTCACACATACATATGTATAGCTCTTCTGTGTATCACTCCGATATGCGTCGAAGAGTCGAAGGTCAAAGCGCGCGCGAAGAACGATTAAAGACGCTGCCGCTGCTTTCGGTATCGGCCGCTCAATCGGGTGGCGCGGCAGTCGGCAGCGCGCCAATCGGAGCGCGCGCCGCCGCCGCGACTCGGCGTCTCGACTCGAGGCTCAGTTCACCGCAGTCAGTCGCGCGCGTGGTTTGCGTTGTGTTGTGTTGCGTCGCGTCGCGTCGACGCCGATCTCTTTCTCTCTCTCTCTCTCTCTCTCTCTCTCTCCCTCTCTTGCAGCGAGAGAACGCACAAGCTGCGCCGATTATTCCAAGCACGATGCAGTGCGTAGCGTGAGAAGGATTGCCCTTGAAAGAATCTCACCGATCTATTTATGCGTACGTGCGTTACACATTGGCGTGCGCCATACCGATACTCGATTTCGCATTGTCGCGCGAGATCAGTACAGTATTTGCGCGTACGATTATTTGGTGCGACTGTATTAGTTTCGCGCATTGTTCCGTAATCGGTATACGTTGTTTCCTCGGTGACCCATGTTCCGCGCGTGTGTGTGTAGTGTATATATATGTGTCGGTTGCGCGGAATAGCGTGACGCCTTGCGCCACGTTTGAACGACCGTTACGCTACATTTCGGAGTACGGGAGTGTCGGTTTTGTAGCCAAGTTCATATAGTATCGCGATGTGTCTCGGCTAGTGCGTCCTTGGTGAGATTAAAGCAACAGGAATTGTGAGGCAAGAAATATAGAGACAAAGGAGCAAAGCTGTTGTGGGGACGTGCTGAGAGAGAAGGAACGCGAAGGACATTGTCGCTGCCTTGATTGATGGATACGGAGATCCGGACAAACGTCTATGGTAAGTGCCAATCTTTTTCTTTTCATTCGTTTCCCTCGAGGCTTCCTTCGTCGCGAGACGGATGCACGAAGTTTAAAACGAAGGTGCCACCGTACCTATATAATATATACGTGTGTGTATATTCGCACGTGTACGATTCTGAATACGATTTCTGTCTCTCTTCCGCTCGGACATCACGAGAGCGCCGATCGAGCTTATCTTACGTTACGGTCCGTGGCACACGAGGCGATGCACACCGGCCGTGTTCATTTTCGTGTAACGCGGTCTCGCCCGGAATGGAATCTCGTCCGGAGCGGTGAACCTCGTGCGTGATCTCTCGGAATCTCTCTCTTGTCTTCGACTCTTCCAGCGACGCTCTTCTCGGCTTTGCTCCTCGCTCGGCCGCGCACGACGACGATATCATCTCGTCGCAAGACCGCACAATCCGTGCTCCTCGCCTTTGAATCGTATTCTAACCGCGTATCTAATATTAAATTCGATCATCCGTAAGCTGAAAATTTATTTCTCTTATGTGAGATTTGAAGAAAAAAATAGTGAGGGAGAGAAAAAGAGAGAAAGCGTATAAAATATTATACGTTACATTTCAAACGTCCGACAGAAAATGTAATTTTCATTCTCAATATAATATGGAATTTTTGTGATTTAATGATTAATACGCGTCGAGAATATTTTGACATATGTTAATATAATGAGAATAAATATTTCAAAAATTTGAGTGCCACATATATGTAAAAATACGGTTGTTTATATCGAATCAAGAGTATGCCGATTTATTGATCGTCTGCGCGAGAATAATAACAGAATCCGAACATTTAAATTATGTAGCGTAAATCTTGAATATTTTTGATCGGTCGAGAATTACAATTAATATCGACTGTCATGTAGAATGCATTTATTCAATGGATAATAATAGAAGATTCAATGGATATAGCACCGATATAGATATATCATGCTATTTTATAGAGATTTAACAATCATATATGAAATAAACTTTATTTAAATGGAAGAAACGTTGATTCAGACATACGCAAACATTAGTAAATACATAAGTACTTATTCAATCTTGCGAGTCTTTGGTGCCTCGTGTTATCGAATTTTTTCGGAGGTTTATATTTATGTGCTTGCGTTAGCATTCCTTCGCGATATGGATAGTTAATTGATATTTTTGTACTTACATAAGATTATATATGTATATTGTAATTATATTTTGCCATGTAAGCTTTAATAATTTAATTTATACAAGCTTTTTTTATTGAAAGTTTGCGTCTATCTTATCAATGTTAAAATTATTTTATTCAATTATTGTGTAGACGTAAAATATTTGAGAGTTCTTATATTGCAAAAAATACAATTTTCTCAAGATAATAATAAAATGAAGATTAATTGCGTTTTCTATTTTTATTTTATCTAAAACGCAATTGCAAAATATAATTTCTAATGTTTTATTATAATGCATATTTTATAACTGAATATGTTTTGGAAATTATTGAAATTCTCGTGATGCATAATAGAAAGGTAGGATCAATAAAATAATATTTGTCCGTGTGTAAAAGGTCTGGAAATATTCTTCTAATATTTACATATATCAATCTTCTGTAAGTCGTTGTTTGGAACAACAGTTTCGATACAAGATATCAATTCTTTCGCAGAAGCGATCAATCTATTGCAATTGGCATGAAATAAGATATCAAACTTTTCGAGAGCTAGAGACCGAATAAAAATTTGTTTTGATCTCTACTGTATACTTACTTTATTTGAGTGAGTGTTCTTTTTCAATAGAAAAAATTTTATATCGCATATAATATATAGTATTTTTTAAATTTTTATATAGGTTTTTAGCATACACACACAATTTTTTTATATCCAATATCGTTAAATTATTTCGATGATCAAACATGAATAATTGGCGAGAAGTTTACCGCGTATTTTGTGTAAACAAACGTCGTTATACACTGCCGCTTCCCGAGATGACAAGAACTACGAGTCAGTTTGCCAACATAATTGGTGCGCGTTGTCAATTCCGAATATACGTTATTATCAAGTTCGAGGAACTTTCTCCCTAGGATGAGCGAGATCCGCTTTGCAATATTATAAACGCAGTTATTTGTACAAGCTCTCTTCCTTCCCTTCATTGAAAGTCGAGACAACCGAACCGTTCTATTAAAACGACAATCGAGTCGCTGGATAGCGAGCAAGAGTCGACAATTTCGTAGAGCATTTAATTATAAGGTTTCATCTCGCAATTTAGAAGAGTTTCAAATGTAAAGAGAAAAGTCAATTTCTTCGACAAAGCACTTTCGTTTATCAAACATGGCAAAGATAATGTCCGAAAGACAGATGACAAATATATATGCATACTACTTTTCTAATACTTATGTGTCGAATAGGAAATTTTATCAATAATACATTAATTAACAGTAATCAATTTTATAAAATAATTTCCTGTTATTTTAATTGGAAATTTGGAGATATACAAAGAATAAGTTAAAATATTTGATAATAAAATAGTATGGCATTGTTCCGATAAAAGTTTATAGAATTCATTATCAAATATCTGTCTATCCTATTTTCTAGCAAATTTATATGCTAACCTAGTGATTTATTCATCGATCTGTGAACGAATTGAAACATTCATTTCTGTTTCAATAACATTTCGATAGATGTATACAATTTTAGTACCTGAAAATTTGAAATTGCAGTTTGATATTTTTATATGCATCCTGATTGTATTTTGAAGAGAAATACATATATGTAGCATTTTTTTATTTGTCGGTTTGTATTAATATGGAAATGTATGCGCTATATTAAGGAGAGTAGTTAATTTTCAATATTTACACACTATATTTTTAAATAAATAATAATCCTTAAGGTTGCCAGTAATAATTAATAAAAAACCACTCCTCAATGTTTAAAGTCGACCAGACTGGCAATAATTTATTATAAATAATTATTTGAAATACAACAACGTTTCGGCTGTCATTGCAGCCCTTTTCAAGTACATCTATAAAAAGTTCAATCAAAATAATTATAATTTAATACACTTATTCGCAACAATTAATTATACATTTAAAAACAAAAATGTGTTACATACCAAATTTAAAACAGTAAATCAACTTCTATGCAAACTACCGACAATGTTAACGCTTGTTTTGATGAACAATGCAAGACTGACAGAAGTAAGCACATATTAAATAGATGTTAACTGTTCACAAGAATCTTAGTCACTAAGCGTTAAGAAGATAGAGACGAAACTAAATGTGTCTTTCGTAATTTAAATCGTCATAATAAAGTCAAATAAATAAAAATAAATAAATAGGTGGATATAAAAATAAAAATAAATTAAAAGTAAAAAAAAAATAAATATAAAACGACTTAAATAACGTCAAGAACACGATCATAAATCCCACTGAAATTCTCCGTATCTTTCTGTAAATTAATACTTTTTCTTTGTTTTTTTATGTAAAACATTTCTGCAATTTCTCTTTTTCTTGTCTGTTTTTCCTCATGCAGAATCACCGGAGAATCCCAACGGAACTCATGATCGTTGCAAGTCCGATGTAAACTAACGACAGAATGCAATGTCTTGTCTTTTTTTATGTTATTTCTATGTTCTTTAATGCGCGTTTCTAAATGTCTCTTTGTCTGTCCTATATAAGCCGAATCGCAATTCGCACAATCAATTTTATAAACAACATCAGTTCTTTTTAAGTTTTCGATCCCATCTTTACCTCTTTTTATCAACGTGTCCAATTTTTTTGGGACAGTATACAAAGCATCAATTCCACTTTTATTGATGCAACGCGTAATATTCTCGCTAAGATCTTTAATGTAAGGTAACACAATGCAATTTCGCGTATCAAATTTATTTCGATTGGGCGAGTTAAGATTACCGCCAAATTTAATCGCTCGAAGTCTTTTATTGATGTTTTTGTTAATAATTGTTAACGGGTAACAATTATTAATAAGGATTCTTTTGATTAAATTAATATTTTCTTCATGAAAAATAGGGTCAGCGAGTAAAATAGCCCTATCAACTAGGCTTGTAATCACACTAATTTTATATCTCATAGGATGATTTGACAGAAAATTAATATAGCGGCCTGAAAACGTAGGCTTTCGGTACCAATTAGTCGTCAATCTACCACCGATACGTATAACGTTCGTATCCAAAAAACTCAGAGAACAATTTTTCTCTAGTTCGAACGTAAACTTAAGTCGAGTGTGGAAACCATTGAACACACGAAGCATATCCTCAATTTTTTCTTTCGGAATAATTGAAAAAATATCATCGACGTACCTAAAATAACAATAGGGTTCGAAATCCAATTGACGCAAACAGTATGATTCCAAATCGTCCATAACAATGTCAGAAAGAATCGGAGACAATGGAGACCCCATCGGAGAACCGAAAACCTGTTCGTAAAATTTTCCGTCAAAAACGAAGCTCGTTGAGCGCATAACCGTGTCAATGGCGTGTAAAAACTGCGCAAGGCTAAACGAAGTAAATTGTGAGATGTCATCCCATCGGTTTTCTATTGCTATTTTAATTAATTCCCAAGGGGTGTTAGTAAAAAGTGAAGTCACGTCCAACGAAATCATAACATGGCTGTCGTCGATGTTTCTGTCTTTAATAATCTCCACAAAGGACCAACTATCCTTGACATGAGATCGAGGTTTATTGACTGCATTTTGTAGTATCTCACTCAAAAAGGATGCTATGTTGTAAATAGGACTTCCTACAGTTGAAATTATGACGCGGAGAGGGTAACCTACCTTATGAATCTTTGGTAAACCATACGCACGAGGCAAATTACCATTCGTACACCTCAATTGTCTGTATGTGTTATCGTCTATTAATTTATTATCTAACCAAGATTTTAATAAATTAGCAACCCTCGTGCTCAGCGGAGTCCTATTAAGTGATCTATACGTAGAATCGTCTTTCAATAAAAAATTATAATTCAATAAATAATTATTTATAATAAATTATTGCCAGTCTG